GGAGCGCGGCCATCCTGGCACCGCGGAATAGGGGTGAACTGTCAAGGATAACCCAGCCGCGAGCGCGAAACTTTATTGGAGAGCGAAGTAGGTGATTTTTATTAATTATTCTGCCAGCTCGCGCATCAGGTTCCTTTCTGAACCTTGGAGCGGTTACGATCAGGTTATTACAACTTTATCTGTATTGCGTTTTCCAGTTTATTACAGGTTTATAAACAAAATTATGTTCTGATAGATAGAGCCAAGGCAGCTTGGCTCTCTCTCTCTGGATTTGCTAGCAAAGCGCCCATCTGTGCAGCTGAGAAAGAGTCTTTTGCAATTATTAGGTACTGCTTTTCAAAAGGCACGGCTGTTTCTCGCACCCTTGGTTATCGGATCCACCTGATCTTATGCTTTATGCAAGCAATGCAATCAAATGTTAAAAAGTTGCTGGGAAAATCTGCATTTGTTTATATCCACTTGCCCAAACAGTTAAAAATGCTGAGGGCTGGTGGGTGTCTGCAGTACACTGGCCCCTTTTCACTTTTTGGTTCTGCTGAAGTCTCCTGTGAAAGCAAATTGTAGATAGTTTGCCCTGCCCTGTTATTTCTTCTGTATCTTTTCAGCGTGAACTCCTGTGTTCGTTCAACAGAGTGCAGATCAACGTATGATAATAGGTTAAAGGCTGGTTTCTGAAGTACTTGTCAAACTGCTTTGCCAGGTAGTTTCCTCGCCTGCAGGTTTCTGACTGCAAGTGTAGCAGGATGTTATGTTAAGCAGTTTCGGAGCCACACTTGGTAGTCTTGAAATCTTGAATTCATATATAAAGAGCCCTCTGCCACACTGGGGACTAGAGTGAATTTGCAGCTTTTTCCTTATGATTGCTGCTGTTTATGTATAGTTCAGTGTTGCTTCCACTGAAATGCTACTGAGCAAAATGTGTCTTTTTTTTTTTTTTTAATAATTTACGGAGGCTAAAATGAAGTCATTTAAACTGTACTGATCAAGAAAGATGTGCTTCTAACAAGCAGTCCACCTTTTGCAGACTGTAAACTTTGAGCTATTCTGCCATTGCCAGCAGCATGGGGCAAGTACCTGATCCTCCTGCTGTGGTGGATCTGAGGGCTTTGAATTACTGTGATGTATTTGAGGACTGTAGTGAACTTGGGCATCTGCAAGCAAGAGAGTATCGTTAGCTGCCAACAACTGCAACTTACACCACAGTATTTTAAGGCAGCCTGGGACTGAGAGGATTTGCTCAACGCTTGTGCGCTACAGTGGTGCAGCAGCTGAATCATGAGTACTTTAGTACTTTGGCGTTAGTTGTAGTCAGACCTTAGGTAATCCAAGGAGCCATGGTGAGCTGTGCTGGCACTGCTAATAAATCAGAACCCTGAGGTCCTTGGCTGACTCTTTTCCAAAAATACTGCCTAATGTTGAGGGGTAGGATGCAAAAAGTCACACCCAAGACAGCCTTTTAAATATCAGAGACTGGAATGGGTCTCTCTGGTGATTTTTTAGAAGCTGTAGGTGCATCTCCTGGGAAGGGGGGCATAGCAAAGGAAAATGGAAGACCTCTGTTGCCAACCATAATGATTTTAAGTCTTTGACCTGCACATGGTCAGAGTTTGATGTGAAATAATTAACGATTCTCTACCTAATTACTGATACAGTATTGTATTTGTATTATATTACAGAAGAATTATCCCCTCTAAATCTGTCTCACTTGGTACCTTTGCTTCTGTTTACTGAAATGGACTCCTGTGCACTGTCACTGATTGTCATTCTCAGTGTTTGTGATTGTTAGCACTACATCTTCAAAAAAAATCTATTGCAAAAACCCTTGAGATAAGGACTCAAACTGATAAAAGAATGACTCAAATAGGTGTGATTTGTCAGAACTATTGGGTGAGGTTGAGAGTTGAACTTAGCAAAGACCTTATAGAAATTCTTTCTTCAGTCATCATTTCTTCAGCCAGCTTAAGGTAAATTGTATAACAAGAAGAATGAATCTTTTCAGGATACCAAAAGCTAGAGTTTGGTCTGGGATCAAACATACCAGAAATTTTTGAGGTAAGAAAAGAATTAGTATGTCTGAGCTACAAGGACATGTTAAGTCCTTACTGGATAGGTAGAGTTATTTTAAAGGGATCCCTTATAGCACTCGGCATTGAAGACAGATTTCAAAGGATGTTACAAAATGATTCACTGTGTTGAAATTCCCTTATTGCTGTAGACAAGCCACTGTGGGGTGTGTTTGAAATGTATAGTTCTGATTTTGATAGCGATTAAATTTATTGAAACTTCATTTGTTGCAAGCTTTACCTTGCAGAAAGAATATTTCAGTTCAAAAATGTATCTGCTTAGCAAAAAAAAAAAAAATCTGTTGGGTCCTGAATAGGTAACAAATAAGTGTGCTGGAACTGAAAGTCAGTGATGCAAGAGTAAAACCTTAGTGCTTTCTTGTTTGAAGTATGATTTGCAACTATAATGGTACAACTGTGCATCAATTGATCCATGGTTTTGTACATACATGAGGACAAATCACAACTTGCAAAAATAGCAGAAGAACTAATGTCAATAAGTAGTGGTAAAGTTCATTATTTGGAAATGCTTCACCCTAGCAAGTTATTACTTCAGCATGAAATAAAATTTACAGCCACCTTTTACGCAATAAATACAGGTGTATCTTACTTGTGTAAAAGGAGGTGTGTTCTTTTTCCAGACTTTCCTTCTGTTGTTGTTATTTTTAATGGCATTCTTATTCTTTTTCTTGAGGTATAGCGGGCTGTTGCTCACTGAACAACTCTTCTGGCTTGATGAGGTCAAGTGCATCCATGTGTTGGGGGATGCGTGTGTGACTCTCCAGGGCCTCTGTTGCTGGGCAGGTGAAATAGATAGTTTGGGGGTCAGTCTGAAACAGAACAAGACTCAGGGCTTCGGAGCAGAGCTGTTCTTTCCTCAGTTTTAGTCGTCTTCCTCTTTCCTGGTGTTTAAAAGCTGCTGATGTGCTAGAAGGACACGGACTGCTGTATGTTAGTGTGATTTCTGTATTGAGGAAATTCCTAGCAACTTTTTAAGTGAAAAATATATATTTGAGGGAAGCATCGTAGTGGGGTAAATGTTACTTAAGGGTGTAAGGACACTTCCTGAAAACTTCTTGATGTCTCCTGGCTAGCAATCCCAGCTTCTTGCTCATCTCTGCACGCCACCTGTGAAGAAAAGAAGGGATGAAGAACAGTTAAGAAAATGGTAACTCATGTGAAGGGAGAAAAATCCTACCTGTTTGAGACCATTGACATGAAGGTGCAAAGAGTCTGCAGATTTTGTAATCTTCTGTGACTTGCTCTTAAATAGAAAGAAATGACACAGGGCTACAGGATGAGAGAGAAATTGGAACATATTTATCTCAATTTGCTGGTAACAGATAACTGAAAATTTTGCTCCCATAAGATAGGGGTATGGCAGAACACTGATTTTGCCTGTGTTGTGCATTAGCCAGCAAAAATACGTTTCACTTTGCAGGTCAGTTTTAGAGCAATGTGGGTAGCAGTATCAGATCCTTGCTGGGTTTCCTGTATCAGGAGCCTCTGACCTCATCTGATATAATCCTGGTTTCCACCACTAATCTGTGTTTGACCCTTGTGTGATGAGAAATGTTCACACTGTACCTGCTTGAAGAGTTTACATTTAGCAAAGGTGGACAAAGGTGTATGTAGCAATTTTCTTTTGGATAGCCTCATATGCTGTTTTTATTAGTTATTTTAATTCCTGATTTTACATGAAACATATGGGAAAGATACTGTGTGAATTTTTTTTTACAACTGCTTAGCTGATTAGAGAGACAGATGAGTATAGTGTTGCTGCTGCCACTTTCTGCAGATCTCCTATCCCCTATTGAGAGGTCAAATGGAGATATCTCAGTTATTGTAAAAAAAACTGATATTCACTTTTCCTGTTTTAACATGAGGGATTTTCAGTAGGATGACTTAATTTCTTACCATTATTTTAGTTAACATTGTTGCTTTAACAATCAGCTATTAAGCAGTTAGCTGTCTCAATCTTAACTATGACAGTGCTACTCCAGCTTGTTACACTGGGACATGCACATAATTCTTCTTGAACTCTTTGCTTTCTGTAGTCTCATGGCTGCCTGCACTGTGTTCACTGCCTGCTCATTTTAGAAGAATATCTTTTTAAAAAGACTTTCAGCTGTTATCCTTCTCTAGACTTGATATGTCTAAATTTTCTTTATTCTTTCTGTTATTCTACATTCTTCTCTGCATAGTTTTTGCTTCAGTCTCTTCAATGCTACTACTATTCAGTAGTACCAAAAATGCCTTTTTTTGAAGGGCAAAAAAATACATCTTTAAAAAGTATCTTACTGTGTAGCCTTATGGTTTAAAAACATTGAAAAGGGTGAAGGGGTGGTGCTTCACGTTTTTAAAGCAATTTGTCATATAAAAATCTCTCTGTAGGCGTCTATTTACTGGGAAAGTATGGACAGAAGAAAATCAGAGAAATCCAAGAAAGAGAAGCAGCTGAATACATTGCCCAAGCACGAAGGCAGTATCATTTTGAAAGTAATCAGAGGACATGCAATATGACAGGTAAGATGAGAAAATGCTTAGTGTATAGGTAGAATTATTTGGGGAATTATTTATTGTTGAGATGAGGGAAGAATAAGAAATGTAGTAAAATTCAGATTCTTAAAAATTGAATACTATTATATAAGTATAGTCAGCCTACTTAATAAAAATGGAATCCGAAAACCAGAGGACTGAAAGGATTTCCAGAGGTCATCTTAGCCCTTGATTTTGAGTATGTCTATCTGTACATGCATATGTAAACACATGAAGGTTATGGGTTTTGTCAGCTCAGAACCCTTCCTGTATTCTTCTAAACTGTGGGTGGAATTTGTGTATGAAACAGCATCCAGATTCAAAAAATGCTGAATTTATAGCAGGATTAATACTCTTACTCATTATACATGTTGTTTGTAAGCTACACAGAGAACTTTGTGGGTCATTTTTATTTGCAGTAAGAAACAGTGCAATCAAAACATTAGTTCCCTATGGTTAGAAGAGTTAAAGGCTACTTCACCAGCTTAGTGACAAAAATGAAGGCAATTCTATTGTAGCATTTGTCCCTGGGTGTGGAGAAGAGATAACAGGGTACAGTTTAACAAAATTTTCACTCATTTAAATACGCGGTGTTCAAAACTTTTGCTATAAAACAAATCGGGCAGTTTTTCCTTAACTAAGAACGTAATTTGTTCTTACCGTTCTGTTCTGTACATGCATGTTTTCCATTTCCTGTTCCCATCATGTAACAGGAGTTTGAGTTTTGAGTATTTGAGGGAAAAAAAAATCTTTAACTTCTAAGAGCCTTCCTTGTTTAGAAGATTTCTCAAATATCTTACTTGCCCTCTTACTGGAAAAGAGCTAATCTAAAGAACTCATCTGGGGAAATTCAAAAGTGTTGATTTTAGCTAGTTCTCCTTCTGGAGTTTGGAGGGCATGTACATGCAGACATGCACAGCCTGATTATATGACGGTAGCTAGAGCCATGTAGCCACACTAGAGCCACACTTTTTCCAAGCTCATCAAGAGGCAAGCAGGTAATTGCACTGACTACTCCCAGGGCTTCTTATGTTGCTTGTCCTCGTAGCTGTGTGTCCTGAGTATGAGGTCTATGTTAGGTAGTATCTAGAGAGAGAGTGAGTATAGACAGTGAGAGCTGGGGACAGGGCTGGGATGTTTTTCTTGATGTTGACCGTTTTTTTTTTTGTTGTTGTTGTTCTTCAATGATAGTGCTGTCAATGCTTCCAACATTGAGGGATGCCTTAATGCATCAGTTAAATTCTGAGAGTCTTACGTCTCTGCTTAAAAATAGGTAAGTTTTTGTTAATTGTGTTAAGGATAATGTCTTCTCATCATATTTTTTTTAAATACGTGTTTGCAATTTGGAGAACACAGGATTTTAATCCTTTTTCCGCTTCAATCACTAGTTTTAAAGTATTTTGAAATCGAGTAGTTATTTTGTGTCATGTTAGGTATAGCCTGATAGCTATCACTGTCATTCTCCATATATTACAAGCGGTAGTGATTGCTTTGAGTTGCAGCTAGAGCCAGTTTTTGGTGAGTGCTTGTAAGATCTGCAGATAAAGAGATCTAGTCCTCTTGTTAAACAAGACACAGCATCCTGAATGAGTTGCTGATGTTTTGTTTGTTAAAATTGTTTATGTAATCTTATCAAGGTCAGACATGTAGATGGTACTGAAAAATATCCAAGGTGAGACTACAAGTTGTATGGAAGAAGTAGGCTCTGAGAAATGATTTTTTTGTTGTTGAGTAACTTCACAGCAAAGAAGCGTGTCTGTGATAACTTAAAATTCTCTGATTGTTTCTAATCCATCAAATAGAAAACAAACAAACAAACATTGTTTTATAGTAAAGCCAGTGATAAAAGTAAGTATGTACCTGCCAAATTCCAGTTCTAATCTATTCAAGTTTCTTTTATCTGGCAAGGTAAAACGCCTTTATTGTCTTTATAACTGCAGAAACAAATAGTATTTTTTTAGACTTATAAAGTGTAAAATAGCATTCCTTAAAAGTGGAGTAAGGTGTTGGCATTTAGCATGGAGTAAGAGTATTATGTAGGCAGTTAGCACAGGCTTCCTGACTCACTTCAGATGGCCTCTCATTTAGGTCCTCCTGACTTCTATATGTAGCTTTAAGTTCAGCTGTCCAGCATTTAATAAATTGCTAGTCTAGTTATTGTCTTTTTTTCAGTCAAAAAGCTGCCCACAGCCGGGCAAGAGAAGGTGGTATTTATGGTGGGAATTACGCATTGAGTAATGCATTGGTAACAGCTCATCTGAGAACTGGTAACTGTAATTGAACAATATTTACTTGAACAAAGAATTGCAAATTTTTACTTTTCATGGAATATATTTAATATATATTTGTCAAAATAAGAATTTTCTTCAGTGGATCACTAGATTTGTCTTCTGGAGTGTACAGCAAAACAGTCTGCAAAAGTCTGTAAGCTTTTGGTTTGTGGTAAGGGTACCTTTGATTTTTTTTTTTTTTCTTTGATTTTTCTCTTTAGGGTTCATTCTTCCATCATATTATATATGATGTCTCCAACTTGTTTGACTAGTTAGAGCAGTTTACAAGTATAATGACACACTTGCACTGTTGCTAATCCTGGTGAGAACAGAGAGTTCTGACTCTCAACAGAGTTGAGATTTCGTTACCATTACAATACATTTCTTAATAGAAATATTAACAAAATGGTTACATGCAGCTGAGGTAATGAGTGTCTTGTTATCATGGATATCTGTTTAGACTATCTTAGAGTTTGCATCTTAATGCTTCCTTTTTCAACCTTCGCTGAGGGTGTTTTAAGTAGATACTTGAATTTCTTGAACGGAAAAGGCAGAGGAGGGTTGGGGATCAGGAAATAGTGCATCAAAGATTGCTTTAAGGTTAGTCTTTCTAAGTGCTTCATGTTCTGGTGCTGCAGATGAAGGTATGTCTCTTTTTCCGCTTGGATTTGAGAGGATGATTTAAATTGCTTCAGACTTTTCCAATACTGTTGTTGAGTAGACCAGAGAATAGGTAGAAAAGGATATTTACTTTTCTTAATATGCCTGCATATACATTCTTTTTGTCTTGAAGTTTGTCTATGAGACAAGTTAGATTCTTCTGACTTAAAATCCTGGGAGTTTCTTAAATTTAAACCTTGTTACATTGTTTTAGCAATTTGAAGTGGCTAGCAACAGAGAGGGGGAAGCAGACTTCAGTCTCCCAGAGAAACTTTTCAGGAAGGAGCAGCACACAAGGCCATCAGTGTTCAGGCTCTCTGTCGTTCAATTGCATTGTATCAATATGAGGAGAGGGGCAAAGTAGTTGCTTTGGTAGCCTTGTGAATGTTATATCTCCCAAATGTTCAGCACTCAGCTTTATTCTAAGTCTCTATTTTATGTTTGCATTACTTTTTACCTTACTTCTGTAGCAGATAATGGCTTTCCCAATAAACAAAGGTGAAAGAAAAGTGGAGTTCTGAAAAGCAGCTGGGTCCTAATAAACTGTAGCAGACAGAAACTGAGAAATACATTTTCCCTGTTAGACTTCATACTTGCAGGGTCAAGCTGATATATTGTTGTTGCTTTATGTTGTGAGAACCACACAAGCTCTACAAAGTATTTGGACACAATACACGCAAATGAATTGGCCAAAGTTGATGTAATTGACTTGTCTTTCTCCTTGCTGTTGGCACAGAAAACTTCACGCTCATAAGTAACACGTGGCTTTGAGTTATGTGCAATGTGCATTACGTGTAGAAATGTTCCTTTTATTTTTAGTCATTTGCCTTGTTAAAGAATGGCTTTTGAAATGGTGTTGTATGAGAAATAGCATGTGTAAGCTGTCTTCACATGTGCTACTGATCATCTTTGTATCTCTTCCCGCTATCCTTGTCTTTAATCTGGCTCTTCACTTTCTAGACTTGTATGCTTAATAGTTCATTATATCAGTTAATCTGTATTATTTGATAGTGATGAGCTTAAACCCCACTGTTTATGTGAAAGGTGGTGTAGTGGTCAAACGAATGCCAAAGTCCATGTGTGAGTCCAGAAAGATGAAAACGTTGAATAATGGTGAACAGTGTCTGTTCAGATAAATCTCTTCTAATGAAGTGTTTTTTTTTATAAACTAGATTAAATTGTGTTTAGGTTTTACAATAATCTGAAATATCTTCCCAATGGATTTACTTTTGATTTTGAAAGTATTACTTTGCCAAGTATTTCCCAGATTAATTCCACAAATTATTTCGTTCGTCACAGAAATACAGTAGTCCTTATTTGTGGACAGTGCTTTTCAAAAGAGAAAGGCTGACTAAAATCTTGGATGGTCGTCTTGCTCTCATTGCTGTTACGTTGCTATCATTATCTCTGGTTCATAGTTTTAAATGTGTTAGACACTTTAGACAGTTCAGTTGCATCAGTACAATCTACAGTCTTGCTTTTTTGTCTGCAGAATATATATAGTCCTGACATTGGTTATGTCAAAAAAAAGTAATTATGCCTCTTGACAAAAGAAAAGCAAAGGTTGCATTTGTGTACATGGGGCAAAACCTTTTTTTCACAGATGGCGAGGATTTGGGGAAGTGGTGAGTCTTGTAAGAAAAGGGAAATGGAAATTCTGATCCTGCAGCTGTGCTGCACAGGGGTTTATAGTGAGCGCTACTGGGCTGTCTGTGTTCAATCTATGAGAGATAAAGGCCCCTGAAAAGACTTATCGCTTTATGCTGTTAAAGGGCTTTTTATGACTGCTTAGTATAGGAATTGGTAATTGATAATATAACTGTATATAATATGAATCAGTAAATTCTGTGCATATATATTAAAGTTTTATATTCTCTATGACTTCATAATATATTGTTTATATACTATTTTCCTGAACTGTACAAATCAATGTAGACATAAACTTTATATAAATAATTATAAAAGTTACATAAACCTTGGAGCTTTCATATTTCATTTAGTTTTTATAGTGATTTCCAAGGAAAATATATTTTTAACATTTAGTATTTCCATTTTTCCCACAGGCCAGCAAACAAGCTAGAAATATGGGAGGATTTAAAGATAATAAGTAAGTGTAAATGAAAGATTCCATGTACATAACCTTTAGTGTAAATTTAAAAAGGTCTATCAGATTCTTTAAAAAGCACCTAGCGCACCAGAGTGGGTTGTTGTTTCAGCAGGTATGAAGATGGCATTCCACCATCCAAATCCTTCTCACCTACCCCCTGGGGAAAAAAGCTCAATTAGGAGGGCTTTTGTTTTTGGGTATCCTCAGGGAAGTCAGAAGCTCAGAGAACAAGGTGAAGGATTTTACTGCCTCTCATGTTATCCTAATTAAGAAAAACTTGTGAAAACTTTCTCTATCACCATAGGAAAATGACTGGTTTTTAAGAAAATTACATGCTGAACCTAGCAGAAAGCTTTTCTTAGAAACATAAGCCAGGCTTTATATGGCTTTTTATTTCTTCTTTCCAAGGTTAAGTTTCAAGTAATCATCATACCAGTGGAACTCTTTGGTTTGTCTTTTTATGTATTGCCTGATAGAAGAAGAGAAAGAGAAGGTGGAATAGTTAACTCATATGTAGTGAAATGCCACAGAGTTGAGGTTAATACTCCTTTTGGTTTCTTGGTAGCATTTCTTATTCTTCCTTCCTGTCTCACACTTTATTTTGCTTTTCTTTTTTTCCACGACACCTTTGCCAGACCTAATTTCTCTCTGGCTCCTTTCTTCCTTCATCCAGATTTATTCATGTTGCTTTCACATGTTCTCTGTTGCCTAGTGGCTGGTAGCTGATGCTCATTTTCATTTTCTTTCTTCAGATATTAGCTGCTCCTGCCTTAGGTAACGTTTTTTTTTTTCTTTTCCCCTGAGCTGCTGTTCTGCTCTTTGAGCCTTTACATGCATGATGAGGGCTAACCTGTTGTGCTCATTTCTTGGTCTAGTGAAGAAAGCGGGCTTGACAGCACATCCGTTTTCCTTAACAAGCCATCTGTGGTAGGGTACACCTTCTGGAGCAACATATATATATATACATATTTTTCTTCCCCCCTGCTGAAGTACCTGTGTAACAGGCTAAATTCACACTGTGCAACACTTGGACTGTAGCCACGAAGCATCTCAGAGTTGTGATCGTCTTGGCTATGAGCTGTGGGCAGCCAGTGAGAAGTTAGTCTGTATTTAAAAAGCATTAGTTTTTTTCAGTTTTGGAGAGCTCTGTTCCCTCCTTGACTCATCCTTGTTTCCTTAACTTTAAAGTTACTACTTTGTCTCTTTTCAAGGTTTCACAAGGAGTATTGTGGCTGTATATAGTACCTGTATGCTAGTAGTTCTTTTACGAGTCCAATTAAATATTATTGGCGGTTACATCTACCTGGATAATGCTGCAGTCTGCAAAAATGACACAGTAAGTGTTTTGTTTTGTTTCAAATGTGTAGCTTAATGGGTAGATACAATGGAGAGATCAAAAGGGTATAGATTAGGAGTGTTAGCATGAAACCAAGACTGCTGTAAGAGTGTAAGCTATTGCAGAATAGTTTTTCTCTGCATTTATATTACGCAGAGAAGGTTAATTGATATTTAGTATGGATATTAATTCTCCCAGTTAAGTTCTCCAGAACTAAAGAAGAAAACTGTTGGACTGTTCTATCTAATGCCAGTTGCTCCTAAGGCCCATATACCTAAATGTCTATGTTGGTGGTGCCAAGCAGAGCTTTTCATTTATATGATGTAACTCTCAATGCAAAGGAGTTCCACTCACAGTAACTGAATGCCCACTGAACAGATGAAACTGTAAATCATTGGAAGCCTATCTAGAATAGCAAATGCAA